AGAAATAATACAGGACCTCTATAAAACAAGTTCAGATCCCAAGAGAGGCAAAATTCATGGTGGAATGATTAGGTTGGAAAACTACAAGTGCTATTTTTTGCTTGTATTTTTCCCGTTCCTTCACTCATCTTTGTATTTTGTCTTTCAGGGAACTTTTGATTGCATTTTTCAAGTCCACAGGGCATAAGCCTCACAGAATTATATTCTACAGGTCCATTCCTTATTAGAGTTCATGTACCTTATTACACCTTTACCTTCTGGGTGTATCCTGATATTAAAGCAAAAATTGCAGAGATGGTGTAAGTGAAGGGCAATTTAGTCAAGTTCTTTTTCATGAAATCGATGCAATACGGAAGGTACACATACTTGGTGATTCTCTTGTTTTGTTTTTCCTTGAATATAATTCAATTTCCGTCTATGAAATACTTGTAACTTGAATGAACAAAATCACTTTCTTTAGGCTTGCATCTCGATAGAAGAAAACTATCTACCACCGATCACCTTCGTAGTTGTGCAAAAGAGACACCACACACGACTCTTCCCTGCTAATCATGGAGATCGTAATGCTACAGACAGGAGTGGCAACATTTTGCCAGGTTTCGGATTTATTCATCTTTTTATGTGTAGGGCCTTTGTATATTTTCCTGCAAGAAGTTCCTCTTTATAACCACACCACTCTGCTTGTATGACCAGGTACTGTTGTTGACACTAAGATATGTCACCCCAGCGAATTTGATTTTTTCCTTTGTAGCCATGCTGGGATTCAGGTAAATTTGATTTCCACGCATTATTGTGTAGATACGGCCATATGGGAGGCTGTTCTTAATATGATATACCAGGATATTTTGCTTAATAATTCTCATCGGTTTTTGCGCTTCCTATCAGGGAACTAGCCGTCCAACACATTACCATGTGTTGTATGATGAGAACAGATTTAATGCAGATGCTTTACAAGTGCTAACGAACAACTTATGTTATACGTACACTATCCTCCCTAAAACTTGTATATTTGAGTTCAGATTTTATGAAATATATGTTTGCCTAAGGCTGCTTTATTTATTCATAATTGAAAACCTTTTCCTTTCAGGTATGCCAGGTGTACTAGATCAGTTTCTATAGGTGAGTCTTTGCATATACTGACTGCGCTCTACTTTATTGTCTCTGAGCATTATTGGCAAAGCTTAAAATTTTAAAAATAAATTAAATTTAATTTTGTGCAACTATATGTATCCGAAATCACCTGGATAAGTTTCTTTTGTCTTACTTTAAAATAAAAAAAGTTATTTCCAATTTCCAATAAAAAATTTAATCACTTTACAACAAATTTATTTATTTATAAAGTGAACTTTTTAAGCTTAGCTAAACATGGTCTTTATGACAAACAATTCGTTATATTTTGGTTTTCCATCTGCAAACGTACGTCTGGTTACCTTTGCAGTTCCACCTGCTTATTACGCACATTTAGCTGCATTCCGTGCTCGCTACTACATTGAGGGTGGTGACACTTCGGAGAGCGGATCCTCAGGTGGTAATCCCACAAGGGAGCAAAATGTGGAGGTCCGCCCACTGCCTGTCATTAAAGATAACGTGAAAGATGTCATGTTTTATTGCTGAATGAAAAATGTCATTTTCTTTTAACGCTGAATTGTTAGCCTTCTCTAGTTTTTGGTTGATGGGCATGGCTAAAATGCTATTATTTCTCCTTGTCTCTCTTTATGTATAGCTTTTGGCTTAACTTATAACTTCCAGCAAGCTGTGGCAATAGTTTGATTGCTGAAAAGAAATTATTACTTTGCTTCTTCAAATACTTTGTCTGATTGTCATGGGGAGATGTCTCTTATTGCGTGCTTGACTTGTTAGACTTGACAAAGATAGATGTAATTAACTTGGTCTCGTTCAGTTCTGTTAGTCCATTGAACCACTGTTTTATCTTAAGAACTGTGACTTTTGTTTGCTCTCTTTGACTGGACACATGCACTTGTATTTGACCTTGCGTTCTTGTCATTTTTAAGTTGCTTTTATTTCGAATAGTGTCGGGGCATGTTTGCTGTATAATATTGAATAAGGAGGAAACTTATTCTTTAGTAGTAGCAGGCTCAAGAAGGACATGATGCTGTTATTTACGGTTTGTTGAAATTATGAATTGGATGTGCTAATTGTTGAGCTGGTTAGTGGAAGTAGAGCTCACATAGCCTTCGTTTGTTTCCTATTATTTGTCCATTCAAATGAAAAATATAATCGTTATCCATCACATCAAGTCACTATATTTGACTTTCTATCTCTTGTGTGGGATCAATAACAACTATATTTTTCATTTTTATTTTTACATTAATGTGTACCGAACGGGGTCCATCCTCTATGTGCAATATCGAAAGTATACCTTTTTTTGAATAAAAAAAATCTAGTAAAAAGGATAAAGAAAAAAAAGAACGCAACCTTTCTCCTCGGATAATAGTAATAAAAAAAACAAGGACAAGTTGATCGACCAATTTGAAGGACTTGAACCAAAAATAATGAAGTTTGTCCAATTTATCCTAACATTTGATATCGTAAGCTATAATGTAATACTTCCTCTTTTTTTTTTTTTTTTTTTTGGCCAAATAAGTTGAACCAAAAATAATGAAGTTTGTCCAATTTATCCTGACATTTGATATCGTAAGCTATAATGTAATACTCCCTTTTTTTTTCTTTTTTTTTTGCAAAATAGGTAGAGTGCGTATATTTTAGGACAAGTGTAAAACGGTACACATTCAACGAGGAGAAATTAACAGGCGAAAATTGATGTTCCTGGATCTGACTTCTCTGCTTAGGCCAAAATAATCAATTAATGCAGGATATTGGAAATTGCTTCCGAATCTTCATTTCTTGGTTTTTTTTGGAGACCTGAATGAAAGCATATAAATCGAAATGATTCACAATAAACAATCATCAAACATAATAAGAGACCAAAATCATATGTAGCACAATGGTGTGTTGTGGGCATCTCTGAATCCAAAGATGCAAAGCATGGAATTCGAGTAATAGTGAATAAGAATCCGGTTCTCCCCTAGAATCAAACTCGAGTACGTAAAACTAGCCACTGAGAATTTTTAATCATATAAGTAAAGCCTAATTTCAAGACCTCAATTTTTACGAGATTGCATGATGAAAACGAATGTCTACATTAGACGGGTAATGAAAATTGTACGGAAGAGGAAATAAATACGAAATAAGTGGAGTGTAAACCATTCAATTTAAGCACCTAGACTGTGTGTGAATATTTTAGCCTTGCATATATTTTTCAAAGTTATTTGAAGCCAGGATAAAGAAGGAGGGTTGCGGTAAGTTGACAATTAGATTTAAACTATGTGAATAAAATATGCACATTTTAATAAAAACCTTATGTAAGAAATGCCCATACCTTCATGGAGTGTTTGTTGGGTTGATATGCGATAGAATTAAAAAAGAAAATAAGTTAAAAATTTATCCATTGTACCATACAACGTTGTGCATTTGCTACATAACGGTCACGTGAATCATTGAATTCTTTTTGTCTATTCCATTTCACTTTATTATGGACCTATCAAATTGATGCAAAATGCTTTTTAACTCGACGAGGTTCAAGAAATGATCCAAAATACAGTAAACGGTATAAAAAAATGGGAACTTTGGGTATATTAATACGTATACATTTACTTACAAACGTGTATATATAAATTTACCCTACAACAAATGATCATAGGTGCCTTCAACGTCAAAATTAACGGCCCAGAAGGTTTTTGCTGCAAGATTCTCTCGTGTCGGACTGATCGGGCTTTTCCCTCCGCCACCTTCTCCAGCGACATTTTCTTCTGAATATCTTGTTTTTCCCATTTACTCCATGCAATATAATATATTATTTTTATTGATGCGCATATATATTTATATATAATGCAGACAGACAATGCAGGGATCATATATCTATCCGCGTTGAAGATTTTTATGGGAAATTTGATAAAAACAAGAATGCGAGTGTGAGAGAGAACAACCAATAGCAACAGAGTTTCATAGATGTTTGAAGACGTTGTTCTTTGCATTGTAAGTTATTAGGGCTGGCAATATATCTAAAAACGACTTGAAAATTCATATTTAATTTAATTTTAATTGTGCTTACAATAGAATTTTCAGAAGTAATATTTATTTATTGATTAAAATATAATGAGAAATTAAATTTATTAAGATTATAACCAATGAAAAACTCTATTATTAACTTTAAATTATTATTTTTGTTCAAAAAAAGTTTTCTTCAGTAATATCATATTATTTTTTTTATATTACTTTGTTTAGAATTAGAATTTCAAGAAACTATACTATCCTTAGTCTTACTAGGCCCAAACCAACCCAAAAGATGATGCCTTAAAAACCACTACTTTCAAAAACAAGTAAATCTATATTCCAACAAAGACGAGTGGCTTTTCCCTCTATTAGAAAAGAGAATAAACGCTATCCACTAGATGAAGGGAGGATTTGCTGAGTAATTGATTAGGCTATTGATGTGAGTTTGTCAAATGCTTGTCAAGCCGTTACAATGGTAACACATAAACTATGTTCGTCAATAACATCTCTGAAAGAACGTTCTTAAATTTGGATGTATGTCTTACTCGATGAAGGATTTACACAATCACTTACTTAGAGATTGAGATGATTCTAATAGTTTTTTAAATATTATTATACCAATTTTCAATTTATTGTTTAGAGCCCCCCCTCGTCCCCGCCCCCGCCCCCGGGCTCTGACTTGCCCAAAGAAAATTGCTATGCCTGAATTCTACAACTATTTGACATGCTTTTTAAAGATTTTATTGGAAAACTAAAGAAATTAGTCTCCGTTTGCCTCCATTAATTTAAATTTTATTTTTTCTTTCTTATTTTGAATCAAATAATCTTTCATAAAACAATTTAACGAGTAAATTTAACCAATAATCACTGAACTTTACACTTGATTACTACTTGCTCACTCATCTTTCACATATTACTGAATGCTCACTCATCTTTTCATATAATTACTCATTCACCACTCGTCTCTTCAAATAATTGGGCTACTTTTACGGCAAATTTTCGACAACTTCCGACCACAAAGAATGTCGAATTTTGATACCGTTGGAAAGGCCACGATATCCAAGCCCACAAAATCAGCATCTTGAAAAGGCGAAAATCTGGACAAAGTTCAGGATGCTGATTTTGTGGGTTTATTCCGACCGAATCCTTTGGAGTTATCGGGAAATTTTGGGTGGTAATTGAAGAGGACATTGTGGGCTTTCCAATGGTATCAAAATTATATAGTTTTGATGGTCGAAAGTTGTCGAAAAATTGCCTTAAAAGTCGTCCAAAAAATCTGAAAATTTTGGCAGATTTTTAGAATTTTTGGGCGACTTTTAAGACAATTTTTCGATCGAATCCCTCGGAGTTATAATGAGATTTTGGGTGGTAATTGAAGAGGATATCGTGGGCTTTCCAACGGTATCAAAATTCGACATTCTTTGTGGTTATAGTTTTGATGGTCGAAAGTTGTCGAAAAATTGCCTTAAAAGTCGTCCAAAAAATTTGAAAATTTTGGCAGATTTTTAGAATTTTTGGGCGACTTTTAAGACAATTTTTCGATCGAATCCCTTGGAGTTATAATGAGATTTTGGGTGGTAATTGAAGAGGATATCGTGGGCTTTCCAACGGTATCAAAATTCGACATTCTTTGTGGTCGGAAGTTGTCGAAATTTTGCCGTAAAAGTAGCCCAATTATTTGAAGAGACGAGTGGTGAATAAGTAATTATATGAAAAGATGAGTGAGCATTCAGTAATATGTGAAAGATAAGTGAGCAAGTAGTAATCAAGTGTAAAGTTCAGTGATTATTGGTTAAATTTACTCACAATTTAACACGTAAATTGAATTTTTTTTTTCAACCGCTCCTCTAAAAAAAACGAAAAATTATTTCACCCATTTCAATTTGGAAAAATGGGGTCAAACGGGGTACTAGTTTGTAAAATTATAATTAATTATCAAGAGTTGACAAAAAATGGGAAAATAAAACCAAAATTTATTGGTCAATTTGGAAAATTGAAATGGTTCGCTTAAACTCGTAATTCGGTTCCTTTAGGACATTATCTTCTGCCAAAAATCCTAGCAAACGTTAAAACCTAAAGAAAGTCTTTCAAGGCAATTAAGTAAACCTAACGAAAATTCTTCCTAACCACCTTACTCCCCCTTACACACAGAATCAGTATCATCTCAAGTCCGATCCGATCTAGTTATCAAGAATGAGGCGGCGTGAATTCGGTAGTGATTGTGATTGAAATGCAGTCAAATAATCCACTGGCACTGCCATTTCCTCTAACTCCCCTGGTGCTGTTGAATGCTGGTGATTTGAGCGAAGGTGGGTTTGAAGTATCGAGGTTTTTGTTCCTCGGATCGCTGCTTTTCTCAAGAGAAGGAGGCGGCATGGACTTGTCCAAAGTGGGAGAAAAGATCCTCAGCTCTGTTCGCTCCGCCCGCTCCCTAGGCCTTCTGCCTTCCCCCTCCGATCGCCCCGAGGTAGTAAAGTTTAAACTTGTATGTATTCAGAATTTGAATGACAATTGAGCCGTGAAGAAGTGATTCTATGTTTCAAATTGTAAGGTCCCAATCTGATGATGCTAAACTTAGTATCACATATTATTGTGCCCTTGGAATTAGAGTTCGTGAAAATTAACTCAAAAAATTTGAATTGAGCATTTCCAATTCCAATTTCTTGGTAGCAAATTCTGCTCCAGTATTTTTAGTTGATATCAGTTTGACAATGGCTGATGAGTTACATCAGAATAAGTAGAGATAAAAATTTGAAATCAATTGAATGGATTTTTTAATCAGATTCTGATTCCACGATCACATATCCAAACTTAGTAGACTTTTTGGTCGATTA